CTCTCTCTCTCTCTCTCTCTCTCTCTCTCTCTCTCTCTCTCTCTCTCCCTCTCTGTTTTTTTTGAGATAGGATTTCTCTGTGTATCTCTGACTGTCCTGGAACTCACTCTGTAGACCAGGCTGCCCTTGAACTCACAGAGATCCGCCTGCCTCTGCCTCCTGAGTGCTGGGATGAAAGGTGTGCACCACCACTGTCTGTCTGTCTCTTTTCTTTTAAAATTTGCATTTTCACATCTTGTCAGTCAGCATTTCTTCTCCAAAACAACAATATTTGGAGTACCTTTGTTTGTATTCTTAGTGAAAGCTAATAAGTTATATGTCCACCAGTGAAATAAGAATATAGCTACACATTAACATTTATTACTTTTTAAAAAAGACTTAAATTTTATGTACACAACTGCCCAAATGTGTGTGCACCACGTCTGTGTCTGGTGCCTGTGGAGGCAGGAGGGTGTCAGAGCCCCTGGAAATGGAGTTACAGGCCACTTTGTAGGTGCTAGGAACTGAACTGTAGTCCCCTGGAAAAGCATCGAGCCATCTCTCCAGGCATTTATTCTCAGAGAGAGAGGAAGGGAGGGAGGAGTGTGTGTGTAGGTGTGTAGGTCACAGGACAACTATCTGACATTTGTTCTGCATGTTGACCCTGGGAATAAATTTGAGTTGTCAGGAAGGGCCTTTACACCCTGAGCTGTCTTGTCAGCCAGGGAATAGCTACTTTAAATTCTCGATTTGGGGTAATCCTAATGCCTTTCAATTTTTACCTGAATTAATGTTTAAAAATCAATTTAGCAGTCTGTGTTCAAATTGTATTTTTTCTTTACCTGTAAAATGGCAAAGCATTTACAAACTGGCTCTCATGGTCAACTTCAGACGTCTTTCATATATATCTCTGCAATAGGCTATAAGGAATTACATGAGTGGCTTCCAAAAGGCCGCTTCCATGTAGTCTCAAAGAGAAATGCCTTTTTTGTGTGCTTCCCACCATGCTGCGGAAGCAGTCCTCAGATACTCTACGTAGCTGACATCTTCAGCAGATTTTTAAGGAAGGAAGCAGGGAGGAGGGGAGAACTTTTACTGTCTTGGTGTGACGATGGGCCCCTAGAATTCTGGCCGTGTGTAGGGTCTCAGCAATCCAGTCAGGAAGAAATCCACAAGGTAGATTTGGTTCTGCAGATGCTAGCTGAAAGCTCTTCAACAATTAGGTTCTTTTCCCCCTTTCTTTAGACTGCAGGGTCCCATGGCGACCGGTTTGGAAAGCAATAGTCCCCTTCAGCAGTTACCTAGTACCATGGCAACCAGGACGTCAGCAAAGCTGGATAGACCCACACAGAATAGCTGCAACCAGGCTTCTGTCCTGCTTCTTCAGTTCAGCTCTGCCTGAGGCCCACTGACTGAGCCAAAAACATCTAGGCTTGTACACCCCAGCATTCCTGTGTTGATGCAGATTTTCCCACAAGTAGAGATGAGGGAACACATGTATAGTACACTGTATCTTGAAATCTCCCCCCAAAACAAACAAAACAAAAAACCCAAAGAATGTATTTAAGAGGTAAGAGGCGGGTAATGACTGCAGGACAGGGGCTAGAGGGCAGATGTGGATTTAGTGAAATTAAATTATTTGTTCTCCTAAGTAAAGTAAGTTGACAGTAGAGGAAGTTAGAGCCCTAAGTACATGGTGTGGGTTATTTATATTTACATATAGAAAAAGGCTTCAGGGAAAAGCCTTAAAAATATTTTTATTTACCTGAAATAGAGAAATGGCTTTAATGAGGGCTGAAGGGACGGTAATGCTGTCCGTGGTGCTGAATACTCCATCGCCCAGCTGTGCTCTTAAGGGTGCCCCCAAGATAGAGTAGGCGCGCACAGTCACGTCCGGATGCTGGTAATAGAAAGGGAATGAGGAATCGGAGAGAAAGCATTATCTTCTTCTGGAAAGCAACTCCGAAAGCTCAGGATTAAATTACCTGGTGAAAGAAAGGAAAGTGAGGAAGGCTGGAGGTCTGTGGGCTGATCGTGCGCTTTTCATATGGAGATGTTCTGATTGGAGCCAATCGGGTCAGAGATTTCTGCAGCCTTGCTCCTGAAAAGAGAAGTGGGGGAAGGGAGAGCCGATGGCCACATTTCCCCCCAAGCCACATGATCCATTCCCCATGTGACACATTCCAGAGCCTTGGAAAGGAGGAGGGGCCCCCGAGAGTGGGGCTGGGGGTGGGAAGATGGTTTAACAGTCAACCCAGCTCAGCGTCATCCTGTCTCCTACCAGGAAGCGGGCTGTGAGCTGAGGGAAGGCAGAGGACATGAATGTGTTCCGAGGGTTTCCTGGTGGTTTATGGCATCTTCCAGAGTCCTGTCTGAGAGCTGCTTCTGACCAAGAAGACCTACAGAGACTGTCTCTGAAATCAAGTCCCCATGAAGGTATGTGCTCGAGATCGCTCTATCACAGCTGGAATGTGGCTCGGAGGACACAATACCTTCTCTTTCTCTTATTTTTTTTCCAGGCAATTTGGAGATTTTATGGGCTTAAATGCTCATTAGGGGCATTAGATTTGTTACAGGTTCAAAAAAGATGCCTAGGTAGTTCTGTAAAATAAATATTTCAGAGTAAGTACCTATTGAGGGGAAAAATTATTGTATATAGTAATTGATAATAAAACCATAAACTCATTGATGAAAGGATTTCTCCCTGCTTAATCCTAGAAGGGTCTTAGGGAATCATCACTCAGAAGAGCTAGGTTTCAGTGCCTCTTAGAAAATCCCATTTCATCCCTGTGAGCTGCTCTTCTGTGCCCAGGTTACTGGCAGTAGCTTAGGGAGCCTGGGTGGATAGTCCTGCTATTCCTTTGTGCTGTTAGCTCATCCTCCTGATGTCCCTGATAACCAGGAGCACCAGTGACTGTCTCCGAGCTCTGTTTTAGGACCCTAGACTGCCACAGAATTCCACATCTTATGGGAAGCTCTTACAGGAATCTGCCAGATTTAAAAGCTAGAATCTGCTATGCACTCATCTTGGTTTCTTCCAGTCTTTCAACTGAGCACAAAGAGAAGAGCTAGCAAATATACATTTATTTTCATTTAACAGATACTTGAAAAAGTTCTTGTTCTGTGTGAGCCATGATTGCAAGCATAAGTAATTATTAATCTTTACAGAATACAATTTAGAGATAAACCCAGGGACAGAGGAGTTAGTTCAGAAGCTATTCTGTGGTCACTTAGGTAGCACATAATAGAACAAAAACTGAATCTCAAGACTCTTGATCTTGAAATCCTTGTTCTTAACCACTGAGCTATGATGCTTGCCGTCTTGTGTTATCTCAAATGATGTCAACAGTCTATAGAGCTACAAATTTTGTTCAGCTGACGCTACTAGAAGATTGAGTCAGCTTGCTTGGCTAAAGCAGATCTCCAGTGAAATCTATATTTAATTTTGAATTATCCCGATAGTCATGTTCTGTACCCCCAAATAACCCAGTAAGTAATTGCCCGTTCTCTCCATCTTGAACTGCATAAATACCTAGTAGTAAAACATGATGTTACTATGGTGATCACTGATGTATAAAGGAAAAAAGATAAATATGGAATTATGTTATGATTGACTTTTTAAATCAAACCTAGAAATATTCTTCTATCCTCAGAACCTAGTAACAAGCCCAGTCTAAGCATATTGCTTTCGTCTGAGTCTTAAAAGACAATGAATATATCCTGTAAGCCTAGAAAGGAAGAGTGCCATAAATCTGAAGACTGCCTGGGCTGCAGGGTCAGACTTTGTCTCAAAAAAGAAGAAAACCTTAAAAAAATGCATATTAACTATGATGCCTGACTGCATTTGTTGTTTATAATATGCTTTTAAAACAAGGAGATCTTTCTTTGCAAATTATTTTAGGTTTTTAAGGGTAAAAGAAAATTGCTAGCTAGGTGGTGGTGGTGCATGCCTTCACTTGGGGGCAGAGGAAAGTGGACCTCTGTTAGTTTGAGGCCAGCCTGGTCTTCAGAGTAAGTTTCAGGACAGGTCCTGAGAAACTGTCTCAAAAAAATCAAAAATAAATAAATAAAAATTGCTAATACTTTTTTTATAAGTTAGGAATTTCTGGTGCTGAGGAGATGGCTCAATGAATAAAATGGTTGGCAGGCGTGAGGTTCTGAGTTCAGATATTTAGCACTGAGCTTGAAAAATAAAAATTGAGTATGGCTGTATGTACCTGTAATCTCAGCATTAGGAGGCAGAGGTAGGCGGGTCTTTGTGCTAGTCAGCCTTGACCTCTGGCCTGCATGGGTATGAACACACACACACACACACACACACACACACACATACACTCACGGATTTTCTCACTGTGAGTGGTGAACAATGCCTGTAATCACAGGTGAGGAGTTAAAGAATAAGTAAATGAACCACCAAGAATTGAAGGGTAGCCTGAGCTACAGAGTAAGCCTCTGTCTTATAAAAACAAACATAAAAAGTAAAAGATTTTCCCCCTTGATCTGTGTGGGTTTCCTTCTGCTCTCATTCCTCCACGCTGTGGAAAACTGAAAGAGGTGCTGGGTCTAAAACATAAAGTGGAAAGATAAGCAGCAAGCTCAGATTTGCAAACTTGTTTTCAAAACATTGTGTTTTCCTCTAGTAGTTCATTGCAAAGCACTTCGAAGAGTAGTTGTTTTCTCAGTGGCAGACATTTCTCTGGGACAGGTAACTTGAAAAGTGACCTAGTGAATGGTAAACTCTCGGTGCACATGTGTGAACCTACAATGAAAAGACTCAAAACTCTCAGCAGCATTCTGCTGGAACTAATTTTGGGGCCTATGTCAATTTTATTTGTTTATTTATTTAGTTTGTTTTCTGAGATAGGATTTCATGTAGCCTAGATTGGCTTCAAACTTGCCATGTAGCTGGCATGAGCCTTGAGGTGATCCTCTTTGCCTCCCCTTCCCAATCCTGGGATTATAGGCATGTACTTCCATGCACTGCCATGCCCAGCCTTGCACCACTATGCACAGCTCTCTGTTGTAGAAAGGCTGCTTGTTTGTTCCTGGCTGCTCAGCCCCGAAATAATAACACAGAAACATATTATTTGAAATACTGTTTGGCCAATAGCCAAATAGTATTTGGCCAAGACAGATCCTTTATTAACTAATAGTATTCACGGCATACAGAGGGGAATCCCACATCAGCTGAGTCTATTTTGCTGTGGGATAATGCTCTTGTACACTGTAAAGATTTGTCACTCATATTGATTTAATAAAATGCTGACTGGCCAGTAGTCAGGCAGAAAGTATAAATGGGGCAACCAGACTAGGAGAATTCTAGAAAGAGGAAAGGCAGAGATGCAGTCATCATCCAGAAGCAGATAAGAACGCTAAGGCATTGAGAAAAGGTACCAAGCCACATAGTTAAACATAAATGAGAATTATGGATTAATTTAAGTTGTAAGAGCTAGTTAGTAATAAGCCTGAGCTAGTAGGCCAAACAGTTTATAATTAATATAAGCTTCTGTGTGTTTATTTGGAACTTAATGGCTGTGGGACAGGGTCTGACAAAAACTTCCATCTATACTATTTTATTTGTATATATTTATAGTAAAGCAGCAAATATGCAGTAAGAAGTTGGGAGCAGTCAAACTGTACTTGGCATTTAGGTATGTTAGTTAGGCTCATCGTGAACCAGAGCTCAGTAGTGTCCTTAAATCCTTCCTTGGGCATCACTGGTCCTCCTCGGACTTCACTGTCCTTAGGATGAAATCCTCCTAGTGTGTTGTGGGGAATTGGATGGGGAAGACCCAGCGGTCTCACACTTTGCTCAGATGTTCTGTCTAACACCTGCATTAATCCATTTCTCATATACTTCATGCTGACAACAAATCAGTAGGTACTGTAATTCTATTGATGAGAACAATAAGCCCAAAGATAATTAACTTGACAGCAGCTATATGGATTGTGAGCTTAAGACCAGACAGACTAGCTCTGGAGCATTTTTTTCACATTTAGCATTTGGAGGCAGATAATTCTTTGATGTTCATTGTGGAATGTTTAGCATTGTCCTTGGATTTTACCTACCACATACCAGTAACACACCCCTTTGAACCCAATGTCTCTAGATGCCATATGTCTTCTGGGAGGTAAAGTTGTTTCCATTTAAGAACTGCCAGACTGAAGCCCCAGTGCTCAGCCCCGTCTTCCACAGTCTCTTCATATCTAAAATGTACAGAGCGCCAGCAGGGTGGCTCAGCCAGTAAAGGTGCTTGTTGCCAGTCCTAACAACGAGAATTGGATCACTAGGACCCATACAGTGGAAGGAAAAAACAGTCTCTTGTAAAAACCAGACTTTGGGTGCACACTTGTAATCTCAGGATTTAGGAGGCAGAGGTAGAAGGATTAGGAGTTTAAGTCTACTTTTCAAATTTGGGGCTAGCTTGGGCTATGAACCCTTGTCTGACTAAATAAAATATATGAACCAAAAAAAAATAATAAGATAGGACTGGGGAGATGGCTCAGAGCAGCCCTGGCTAGCTGTTCTTCCAGAGGTCCTGAGTTCAATTCCCAGCAACCACATGGTGACTCACAACCACCTGTAATGAGGTCTGGTGCCCTCTTCTGGCATTCACTCATATGCTGTATACATGATAAATAAATAAATCTTTTCTTTAAAAAAGTGAAAAATAATAAGATAAAGAAGTTTAGGAGTCTCACTCAAGTAAAGCACTTGCTTCTCAAGTAGGAAGACCTGAGCTAACTCCCTAGCACCTGTGTAAGAATGCTGGGCATCATGGATGTAATCCCAGTGCTGGGGAGGCAGAGACTGGAGGATTTTAGGGCCTTGCTGGCCAGCCATTTTAGCTTAATTAGTGAGCTTAGGACCAATGAATGACACAAAGGAGGTGGGCAGCATTCCTGAGAAAGACACCTAAGATTGCCTTGCCTCCACATACACATGCAAACATGTACACATACGTGTGTACGCTCAGAAGTAAGACAAAGCAAAAACACTGAAACATACAGCAGAGAGAGAAAACAGGAAACACAAGTAGAAACAAGTTTTGGAGGAGCTTCTTTCAGGGTCTGTCAGGTGGCTGAAGCTGAGGCAGGACAGTGTCTTCTCTGTGACGAGTGCTAGTGTTGCCTGTGCTGGACAGGTGTCAGATGTCCTCCAGAGCTGTCTCCATGGTAGTGGTTTCCTTTGGTGCTAGAGTTAGCTTTGCGGCCTTGTCTGGGCAGGTGCTCCCACCCTCTCAAGACTCCAGTGTTTAGACCCTCTAGCAGGTATTGATATAGCTAGCAGGTGTAGGGGAGGAAACCCCAGCACTGAGATCTGTCAGACAGACCTATCTCCATACTCCAGACACACCAAGCATTCATCACCCCCCTGGAGAGGTGTTGTGGACATGATATAATCCACTGGAGCTGCATCGTTCTCAGATTCTACA